ATGGCCAAGTGGTAAAAAAAGATAAATGTTAAAAATGATAATTCGAGAGTAGGTGGATGTTCTATAAATAGGTCCTGCTGGTTATCTGCAGGTTTGTGTCTGTATCCGTGTGTGTTTAGGTGGCAGAGTATGCCTGAGAGGATGAAATCCGAGGTTGGTATATCCAGCTGATTCACAGCTCTTTATAATAAAGAACAACAGAATGAAGGGGAAGTAAGAAGGAAATACTTCATGGGAGAGCAGATAGGGAGACGATGATGGGTTTTGGGACCTTACGTAAGATAAACGATTCATCAAATATTCTTGCTGGGTTATTACGTGGGCACTCCTACGGCAAAAACAGGATCTATGCCAAATAATGGCTGAACAGCATGAGGTGCCTATAACATCATGTTCTTTTTGAGGCTGACAGCAGTTCCTTAAAAGCTGTCCAATCGGGCGCAAATCGGGGTGGTTTGACCCATCTACTTAAAGCTTGAACCCCCAAGAAGTGGTGAAAGCAAAATACAAAAATATTTCCCCCCTTTATATGTTTTAAGAATGTTCCAAATGTCCACATATTTCTGTAGCCACAAAAGTTAGGTTACAAATTATTCAGAAAAGTGTATTTTCACCTGGTGCCAAATAGATGGAGGGTCTCCCTCTTTAAAAATTGCTGCTTGGTGCTCCCAGGTAGATGAGATGGGGCCCCCCTTTGTAGTTGGAGATCGCTGTTCCTTAATTCTTTAGATCATGGATATATAACAAGTAAACACACAAAAAAAGAGTTTATTTAAAAAGTCCTCAAGATTGATGTTTGGTGTGGGTGCAAAAGGCAATCTCGGTTGCTTGAGATGTGTAAAACCTCAGTAAATTGTGTCCTGAAATCTAGTTTTTAAAAAGTTGACTTTTCTGAAAGTCATTGTATAATTTGCACACTGGCTGTTGAGTATGTGTGGTTACATAAGACAGCTGGTTACATAAAGTGTTGGGACTGTGAGTGAGGAGGTTATCCTAAGTATGGCCAGAGACAAATCTAAGATTAAGATTAGGGTTAGGGATTCTCAATCGGCTTGGGTCATGGGGGTATGCAGTGAAACTGAAAGATCATATGTAGGCAAATAAGTCTCTGTAAATTCTGGCAAGTTCATTCCTGCCTAGTGACAGTGAAGGGCCATAGCAACAGTGCACAGGCATTGCAATAGTGGTTAGCAGGAACTCCTCTGATTTCACTCTCTTCAGACACAAGAAAGAACAGAGTTTAATCTGGTAAACACATTTAGGCTCCCCACTCTCCGATTTATGTTCTTCATCAGCTCCCTGCTGAGGTGTGTGCAGTAGGCTGCTTGTGAAGTGCTCGTATGTCTATGTAATAACATAAAATTGCAATGAGAGTGAAGTGTGGTTTAGTTGAGCATCTAGGAGAACTTGTGTTTTTATAGGTTGTGGTATGCAGGCAGCCATTGTTGTAAAGTTGGGCCATCTTCCATGACATGGCAGATTTGCATAGTACATATTTAGCAATACAAAAAAAGAACAATAAATATATACTATGCGAGTCTGCCATGTCATGGAAGACGGATCATCTTTACAACAATTGTTTAACCTGTATCTTCAGCAGTGGGGTACCACAGGGTTCGGTACTTGGCCCCATTCTTTTCTACATTTGCACTCAGAACTGTAATGTCTTCATTGCTTGTCATACAGCATGTTGCTTATTCTCAGCATGTCTTCTTTCCTCCTATCTGTCTCTAAACCTATGATCTTAGAGTGGATCTCGACATGCCTTTCTGATGTATCAAACAGGTTGCAGATTCTTGAACATAACTCTTCTTTTGAGCCAAAAACCCACCTCAATTCATCTCACCCTAGACTTTGCTGACCACATTATGACAACTGGCCATTCTCAGTGCTTTATGGTCTGCAATTTTGCCTTTCTAGGCCACTAAGAATGAAGCTCTCTATTAAGCTCCTCATCCAGGCAGTAGTTATTTCATGGCTTGGCTAATACAACTCACTTCTTGCTGGCCTACTTGAGCCTTCCAAAAGCCCCCCTGAGTGCATCCAGAATACCGGTACTTGACCTGTATTTAACCTCCATAAATTCTCTTATGTCAAGCCTTTGCTCAGGTCTGTGCTTTGTCTCTCAGTAACTGCAAGAATTACATTCAAGTATCTGACCTGCAGTGCTAATGTCTAATTTACTCATTTGTCATTTGGATTATTCTTTTATCCAAGGTGATTTAAAATACACCTGTAGCATCCTGGGAAGGGACTGCACAAGGGTGGTAGTTCATGAATCAACTCTTGGGGAATTTTAACCTACAATGTTTTTGTTACCAGCCTAGCTCTTTAAATATTAGGCTACATTGCCCCTGGTGCCAATAGACTGGTCCTCTTCTACCTTTAAACATCCATAATCCATCTCTCCCCCGAAAGAGTTCCTGCTTGTCTGGGTCTAGAATTTCTCATTCCTCAAAGTACAAGTTTTATTTGCCACATGCTCAGTTGAAATAGCACAGAAATGTTTTCACACATTGCGTGTTGGGTCTCCACACCATGGCTGTAAGTGGAACGATGATAGTCTGTGAGTGGAGGTTTCACCTTCTCTGTATATGTGTTTTTTTGTGTGTGTATGTGTGTGTGTTGCCCCTCAGCCAAACTGCTTTTATCTGGCACGGTGGGAAGTTGTTAGATCGTTAATCAATGTCAGAAGAGCAGCATGCCCTATGGCGTTTCTCGTCTCAAAGGAAGGCGCTGCCATGTGGCTGTGTCATAATGGGAATGTATGGGCAGCCATTGACTGGGGAATGCAAGGATTAGTCAGTGTATTATGTCAAAACTGAGCCTCAAGATTCCTGTCTCAAGGAACCTTTTGTTTATCATTCAGTCATAACCAAAATGCATTTATATGTCTCCTGGATAGTCTCAGCTTCAGATGTGCTTTCTTGGCCTAGTTTTGTGGGACAAGACGTGGCCTGTAGAACAGATTTATGGTCAGATGGACCAATATTAATTATTTGTGTGTTGCAAAGTGGCATAGCTGGGGTTTCTGTACAAGGATTTCCGAGCAGTGTCAGCTTCTCAAAAAAGTTTAAGAAGTTTCAGAAAGTACCAGAGTCCTTGAAACAGTAAGTAAGTGCAGAAATGATGCAGATCAGTCCTTCGCATTACTCTATATCCGCTGCAGTTGCTGCTCTGAGGCCCTATCTTCCATTTTCAGTTCATCACCGCATGCTGCGGCACACTGGCCGATATCCAGAGAGAGATATCCGTCGCATAGAATGCTGACACAAGGAGGAACTGTCCTCAAGAAGGAGGAGAGGAGCGAGGGAGCATCTTGGCTTGTGCATGCTGGCTGATATCGGAGTTATCAATGAACAACCAATGAACAAACTCTGTCCTGTGGACAAAAAGAAAACTTCACTCACACTCCTTCTTAACTTCCTCCACATCGTTATCACTATAAATTAACTCCACTGTTGTTCAAATTAGACAGTTAAACACACTGTCTGTGCCAATCTGCATACACAGATTAGTAGTCGGACTCTTGATCAGAGATGTAAAAACCTAAATATTTTTAAAACCAGTTGTTTTTCTGAACCCTGAGCTTTGTATAAATTTGCAGACTAAGGGCCAGATTTACTAAACAGGGCAAATTAGCGTGAGAGCGCAATTCCATAAAAGCATTAATGGGAGTGGAAATTTCAGCGTGTGATTTACTGACTATGCGCAAATTAAAGAACACAGACGCAGCCAGATAATTTCCATAATGACCAACACAATCTACCAAGAGCAGCACAAATTAGCGTCTGCTTTAAGACTTGCTTTTTTGGAGCGTTAAATAATGGCGCAAATACCAGTAATTTGACGAGTGCAAACGTTAGTAAATTGCATTGCATGATTCATTTTAATACTCTCCTCCCATACATTTTGCGTCCTACGAATGCATGTTCAATAAGTTCAGGCACAAAAATAACTGTATCCATGCCTTTTCAGTGCTAATTCTTCACGGCATGTCTTTAAATCCTGACAGTACTATTTTAACGCCAAAACAGCTGGTGCAAGCTGTTAGTAAATCTGGCCCTTAGGGTCATGTTCACCAGACAGCAAGCAGACATGTTTCTTAATGAGTTTTCACATAGTTCTTCAGTTTGAAAACATTTGGACTGAGTGCAGCAGAATGGAACAGAACGTGCAGGTCTTGAGATGCATTTCTAAAAGTTGGACTATTGGAAGATGGTGTTAAACAGCACTGATTTGGTCAGTCAGGTCACAGGGGCTTTTTATGGCCTGGATTCAGCCCTTTCACATTGCTTTTATTATTGCTACAGCTCTACATATTCAGATGGATGTCTGGCCACTGCTTTGCTTCTTGTGCTGTTTTTTGTGCATCCATAAGTGTTGTGCTTTAAAGATGACATATCAGGTTAAAAATAGTCCAACTTTTAAATACTTCCACTTCCATTCTGTTGAGCTCCATCTAGCTTTTTCTGAACGTAAGAATGCACCTTATGAAACATGTCCTGTCAGGGTGGAATGAAACCAGCCTATGCAGACCTCTACCATAGACGGCTATAGAGTCTCTGGAACGTAATGGCTTAACTGTCACATGGTGCGTTAATAGATAAGTGCCGTCAAACCCAAACTGCCATGTCCAGAGCTGCCCTACACATATTCATATTATTAGCTTTGTCTTTTTTTCTACACGTTTGTACTTTTTGCTAACAATATTTCGTTTGCCTTTTCTTGTTGAGCGAGCTTCTCTTCTCCCCTTTGTGTTTGAACTGGAGATGATTTTACTTTCAGAGGTGTGCACGCCTCCCCCAGTTATATTTACCTCCAGTCTTCAAAGTGCCACCCTGCTGTGTTTTTGCATCTGAACAAATAAAGTAGGTTGTTTCTCCAGTGTAGCCTTCCATATGGCTCTCTTCCGAAATGAACCAGCCAAGGGGAACGGGAATCACTTGTTCAAATATAATCGTGTTAACCAGTTTTCTCTCTTTCTCTTTTCTCCGCAGTTCTCCTAAGATGAAACTCCAGCATTCCTGAAGAAGGATGACAACCCTGGCACATTGGATAGGACGGTGTCTATGGGCATCTGTGTCAGTCACATGCCAAGCCTGAAAAGTGGAAAGAAAGACACGTCGTTCTAGAAGGCACGTTGAACACTTCCAAGCTCTAGGGTGAAACTTTGCACAGTTGGCCATGGCTGCATATCCATGGCTTGGAGGATAGGATCCCTTGTTTAGCAAGCATTTTTTACCACAGTGAGTTTTTAAGTGGTCATTTAGCAAATCCAGCACTTCCTTTGGCCCAGAGGGTTTATAGAGTAATTGCCACACACAAGCTGAACCAGAGGATCCAAAATGGCGGTCACACAGCAACGCTCTTTCTACCGGACTGGTTAAAGCTGCAGTCAAAAGCATTACTGCAAGGGCAGTATGCAGGCAGCTGACTACCCAGCCACAAATAATAACACAGGTAAGAATCGCCCAAGTAACTTAAGTTTCTCCTAAAGTCTCCTAAGTTTCTCAATTAAGTTTTAAACATAAATGAATTAATAATACTTTCAGCTACATGTTACAATTGATGCACACTTGCTTGAAGATGAAGACTCCACATCAATTATCACAATTATCTATGGGTGCTCATAGTTTTTGCAGTTATCACATAACCAGTCAGTTACTTTTTCCCTTTTTATATCCACAACAACAATAACAATGTGATTAATAATAACACTATTCTTCTCATTACATTATTATTATGTTATTATTAGGGTGGCAAAGGGGTGGAAAATGTCTAGTAAATTTCCATAAACTTTCCAAAAGTTCTGGAATGTTTCTGGAAATTTACCAGAAATGTTCCACCCCTTTGCAACCCTAGTTATTATTCATAATAATAATTACCAGGTGGCAAAATATATTCACTGCAATTATTATTATTACAGTGAATATATTTTGCCACCTAATAATTTTCAAGTTCAAGTCCACTGACATTAATCTACTCTCCTGTCTGGTTTGTTTGTCGGACAAAACGGTAGATTCTGCGTTATGATTGGTCAGATTGCCTGTCAATCAAACTGCTTGCGAAAGGCCAATTGAGTTATACCAAAGTCCCTTTAAGACAAGTCATGTCACTCGGCGGCCATCTTTGAAACGCCTCTCGGGCATGCAAGTGCAACTCCTATCTCTTTTAATGGGGAAACATCAAATCCTACAAAACTGTTCACTTAGCTTGCGATTAAATTTCATATTTGAAATTACCAAAGAAATCTGATATATCACTGTGTCATAAATGTTGTATATTTTGCTCAAATAGCATTATAAAAAGCTTATTATTTAGGCTAGACCAGCCTGTGCACATGCACAGTCCTGAGTGCATGTCTCAGAAACGCTGACTGTTTCTATAGCAACCGGGACTTCTAACGGCAGCTGCAGTGACGCGCTGACTTTACCAATTAGCGATTGGCTCTTTCATTCAGAAGGCCGGGCTTCCTGCGTTTGAGCAGCCATATTGAGCGTTGCATTTTTCCCCATTCAAAACTGTACGAGTTTTGGTTTGGATCTTTAGTTATACCTTCTGCAAATCATTATCATCATCTAATCACCCCATGTTACTCAAAACGTTTAAGACTTTTTTTTTTCATGTCACACAAAATGGCTTTTCCATAAAATTCAGTTGCTACGGATTGCCGTTCAGGTGCAAATTTACTTGAGGAAAGAAGTGAGGCTGGACCGCCACTGGTACCAGGCATGACGAAGCAGATATCGTCCTCTTTTGGAAGATCAAACAAAGTAGTTTCGCTTTCACAATGAAACACACAGCGTCACACACGGTGGGCTAGAGTGAGCGGTGGTGGCCTAGAGTGAACAGAGGCCGGCGGGCTAGAGTGAGTGGCGGCAGGTGGGCTTGAGAACGGCGTGGCTGGCAGATTCAACAAAGTAGGCTTGCGGCAACCACATGTGACGCCGGGCTGGACTCCGCTTCGTCCACGGTGAAAGCCAATCCAGCGATCCACAGCGCAAAGTTGATGTATTTCCTCAGCGACCAGCACGGATCAGCTCCAGGCATGACGAAGCGGATATCGTCCTCTTTTGGAAGACCAAACAAAGTAGTTTCGCTTTCACAACGAAACACACAGCGCCTTCATGACATGGCGGCAGCAACAATACTACAGCGAGAATAAAAGTTACGCCTTCTTTCTTTGCGTGAACATTTGGGCGGTGTTATGCAAATCTTCCCACATCGTGACGTAGACATGTGGGGGCGTGTTAGAACGAGGCGTTTTAGGTAGGCGTGGTTGACTCTTAACTTTTATAAAGAATATCTCTTTGGATTTGAGACTTTAGTCTTTGCAACTTTACAGATCTTCTTCATGCACCAAGAGCTTGTAACACTCCAAAGAAAAAGGAAAAATTTAAATCGCATCATATGACCCCTTTAAAAATATAGGCGGATGACGCCCCATAGGTGTTAGAATAAAGTCAAATCAATTACTTATCAATGAAAAGTTGCTTAGTTCACCTTTAAGTTTTTGAGAATACATGACTGTTTAACCGCAAGGAGTTGCCTATCATGTTGGTAGGTTGTGTTTCACAAAAATCAAAAAAGAGTCCGTTTTCAGAAAGTGAAACTTCTGCCTTTGTTCAGGGCCGGCCAAGTGCTGACACTGAAAATACTCCAGTGTCCAGCTTTTAATATCAGATGTGGAATTTGAACTTGGAGTGGAATTTGGACCCATACATCCAAAAATTCCTGAGAGACCTGAGGTAGAGGATATTGTTTTAACAACTGGATGGCCCCCAAGCTGAGCGGGGGTCACAATGTTCTGCTATTTTATTCATCATGGAGAGAAATGAAAAACCAGAACATTCAGTTCAAAAGCATGTGATGGGCTCTCCAGCTGAGGGGAAAGAGCACCGGCCCACGGTCTCAGGCAACCTGTCAGTCAAAGAAATCACAACAGAACGAAACGCTTCAACTAGCAAAACCAAACAAACGCTACAATGTTGGTTTGAAATTTAACACAAAGAAAGTCCACACAAAAATGACCCACGTGTCATTATTTTCTCATTTTCTCACCTTCATGTCATCCCAAACCTTTATGACTTTTGTGGATCTCAAAAAGCTTAAAAAAGCACCATAAAGGTAGTGACTTGAGTGTTGTGTTCTTCTTTGCGTTTAATTCAAACATGGCATGATGAGACACTTTGCCTATAGCAGTTAGTTAGTGCTAAAACATGGTTTATTGCTTAAAACATTTGAGAAAGACAATCACAAAGCCTAGTAAATGTAATTAGACAAAATACTATAAATAACAACCCAAATATCATGTAATTTGTTAGATGTATGTCTGTAGCATTGATCAGTCAAGTCGCTTTAATAGCTATTTAAGTTCATTTTATCCCAATCACAGAGATGTATGCAGCTACTGTTTTTGTGTTGATATGATTTGATTTAATTTGCTCATGATTTTGCCTAGCAACAGAGACCGAAGCTACTCAGTTTTGATGCTTGTGCTCGCTCGCTCACTCACTTCACACACACACACACTCACACTCACACTCACACACATATACTGTAGTCTTCATGGAGTAGGAATTGTGTTGGTGTTTCATGGCAGAGGCGTTTTGAGTGTGGACAGCTTCCAAATCGATTCTTGTCATTTTGTGAGCCCACGGCACACAGGTTTGCGTAGGGAGGTTCGGATAGGTTGGGGGAGTTTAAAGTGGGCTGAATGCCGGGGAATACGGCGGTACTAAACAAACGGGAATGAGGGAGATAGATAAAACAATCAATACTCGCAAGGTTAAATTCTGGTTAGCTGTGCTTGTTTTAGGTTTTGAGCCGTGGCGGTGGACCGACCTGTTTGAAAGCTCCAGTCTAATATGTGCACTTTAAATCTGCCTCTTTAAGTAACAGGCGTTTCAAAATAGCTTAATAGTTTTCAACTTTAAAAAAAGACCATCACACCAGCTATATGTAGAACAGTGTCTAGTCCTTGTCTGTTTTACATTTTACTCAGAAATGTTAATAAAGTGAGAACATATTGCGACGGCTGCTCCGTCTCGCACTTTTTGACTCGGTTCTGCTATGCATGCACACTTAATTATCCGAGCTCAGCCGGCGGAGGTCATTCGCTTCTCACCACGACACACACCGCTCCCCCTCAATGTGCTGGGGAATTTGGCGCAGAAATTTTTGCAGGCTTCCTCGCTCTTATTTTCTTTTCTTAATAAAGGAGCCAAGACCTGGAGGCGGCGACAGACACAGACTGAGGGAGAAAGACAGGGAGGGGAGTGTTGAAAGTGACAAAAGATATAGCGTGATGTGTGGGAGACGAGGTCCAAATAAGATTAAAGGTATTAAGAACAAAACTCATTTCGCAGCCTTGGAGGAGAAATCCAGCGGAGAAGTACACAAGACATGTTATCCAAAACTAGACAGAAAAGTATCAATCCATTTTAAGAAGCGAAATACACACTATGTTTCCGGCTAATAAACGGATACACATTTTTTAAAGGTGGTGTATGTGTGACTTCTTTCTTCTTTCTCCTATGCCAGCTAAACATGCAGAGGCAACCATAGGTAAGCCTTCCGTAGGTTGATTTGTAAACACTGCAGCTCTGTTTGTTTAAGGATCCTATTCAGCTTTACATGGCAACTTTGGCTCAACCAGTGATGGGATTTGAGGGCGGGACTAGCCGTTTGTCCTACCATTGGCAGAAACCTGTTTGTAAACAGTCATTATTTTCCATTTGGTAATGCTAACAGTGACGAGACATACTTCATTGTCATGTTGCCATGTAATTAAAATGGACGTTATTAATAAATAAGTAAATAACAATCATTAAAGGTCAGAGGTGGGTAGAGTATCCAAAAATTTTACTCAAGTAAAAGTACAAGTAATTATAGAAATAATTACTCCGGTAAAAGTAAAAATAATCTTAGTGTGTCAAAAATGTCAGGTCAATCAGCAGCAACATGTGTATATAAACCATGCGGTATTAAAGAGACAGCTGGCACAATGTAATTAACATCAAAATAAATTCACAAGAGCAAGTATATTGTTTGCACATGTTTATTTACATTAAAGGCAAAATAACTGAAATAATAAGAGCACAAGTATAGACCTGGAACTTCTTTAAAGGTGGGGTAAGCTATTTTTCAAAAACGCTTTAGAAAACTGATTCGGGCCGACTAGCAAAACAAACTTGTAGCCAATCAGCAGTAAGGGGCGTGTCTACTCATGATGTGGAGGAGAGAGAGTTCAGTGCACAGGACGGACATTAGCGAGCCGAGCGACAGAAAGATAGAAATGGCGGATAAAAAACAAAAGAGGAAAACTTCTGCAGAACAAGAAGTAGGACCCATGTAAATATCAGATCAGCTTTCCAGCGCTGGAGAGAACTCAAGGAGCGGAAGGCCTGCGATCGGACGCCGAGGTTGCTTTGCTTCTTCTCGATAGATGAGTATCACCG